TAATGTAACGTGTAATAGATGAATATTTCATATTTCATAGCTGAGCGCAAATTGTCCAAATCAATTATTTGGTGAAATTTGTTTGTACCATTTAATTTTTTTTTCTCTTTTTCGTAAATAAGAAATATTGATTTCATTGTTAGGTTCGACAGGAAATAGAAAAATTACTTTCGGATTGCGAAAAAGCCATTATGGGTTTGGATCCTACACTCAAGATTTGCGATTTACGTTGCCAAATGAGCGCTAGCTCAAGTCAAGAAAGTGGTGATGGTACTGCGAGTCAGGAAGTTGGCGCTGTTGATTCATGCTTTAGTGGAGAAGCTGATTGTTCAATCATTGATTTATCGTTACCAAAAAGTCGTTGCTCTGATTTATCAGATTCAGTGTCCGATACACCGATGGAGGTATATTCGGATGTGGAAGAAAGTTTTACTGTTGATTTGCGGAATGATTTGAATGCAACTGAACATTCTCGGCAACAGACAAGCCCAGCTCCAACGCAGTATGAAATTCCAATTTCAAAAGCAACTACTTCAACAGAACATCAACAGCCGGTTATTGTTTTTACATTTTTCTTTTTTCTTTTTGCTTTTCATATATTTCTCCATATTTTCTTTCCATAACTATTTATTAGTCTAGTTATTCACATTATCCCTTTCTTTCTTTTTTTGATTAAAAATTGATTTTGCATATTTGTGGCATGCACAGATTCAGTGTTCTAAAAGTTGTATTTTAATTACGAAATAACTGATTTTCTGATATATAATATAAAAGCAGATGTAGATGTATGCATGTATTTATTTTTAAACATTGGTTTCTTTGAACATATATTTTATAAGACAAAATTTCTTAATATTTTTTTTTTTTCTATTTTAGGGATTAACAGAATTGGAAGAAGTTCGATGGCGTCGCAATTCATGGGCACCATCCGTACATACCGGTCCATTGGAAATCATTGAGGAATCCGCAATTGGAGCTGCACCCGTAACCCTTAATATGACTAATAAAGTAAACTTTATATATGAAATATTTTTTTTTTTTTTTAATGAAGATCAGTTTACCTATTTTCATATAAAACATATCTGTGATAAGTGAAAAACTGTTGAACTATTGTGATGAATTTAAAAAACACTAAATATTGTCTTGATATTTTATATTAGCAATAGTATTGCGTATTTTTAATATTTCAACTTGTTACACTTATTTTAGGTGATTACATCGATGTCTACAAATACATTGCACAAAAGATTGGATCAACGTCGTTCTGCTAGTACTGTTCCATTACGTCTTCCAAATCCATTCCTGATAAACGGAGCTGCTCGTCCCGGATCAGCACGATTTGTGGTATCTCAGAAATCACGGCGTCCATTGATGAGAACTTCTAGTAGTGATTTTTTGGAAGAGGTATTGCTAAATTTTAGGAAAACTTCAAAATATCTCCAGTTTTGCGATGTTTATAACTGTAATAAATGTATTTTATAGGATTGTCGTTCAGCTCTAAGCGCTTTCCAGTTTCTGGACGATGACTGCTGCAGCATAAGTGAATCATCACCTCAACCAACTATCGCATCAGGTTTTATACTTCTATTCTTGATTTGCTTTACTCATTGAAGGATGATAGTTCAATTAAAATACATAGCAATAACTACGGTTTATATTTCATTATTGGCATATTTTAGCTTTTGTAATGAGCACTCGGCTTTTTATGGAACATTTCTGAATGATTAATTAATGTTTTCTAATATACTGAATTTTGTGTTTTATAGCATTCTCAGCTTTGGATTTTTCGATGCGTTCCGAACAGATAGATATGATACGAGATTGGCTAAGTCCGGCGAAAACAAGTGATGCGAATTTCAGAATTGAATGTACTGTTGTACGGGATTTGCTGGATTCGGAAATTGATTATGTCAGTGCTTTAAGGCTTGTCGTTCAGGTACGTTTTCTTGCTTGATCTGAAGGTTTTTCTGTTTAATTAGCAATGTTTTAGGTGAATTTCTAAAATGAATTTGAAAATTTTCATGTTAATTCAATTTTTTACTACCATTGTCAATTTAGTAAGAAATCCATGCTTCATTTGTAATCCAAGATTTGTTTGAGATTAATGTCAAAATATGAACTTATTGTTGAATAATTGTGTGTTGAATGAATCATACTGGTAGATTATCAGAAATATAATATATGCTATTTTCTTATATCTTCCAGGATTTCATGCCGGAAATGGCGCGAGTTGATATCCCGAGTGCACTTCGTGGTAAAAAGTCATGTATTTTTGGAAATATCGAGAAACTTTTTCAATTCCATGCTCATTCATTTTTGCCTCAGCTTATTTCACGACTGAGGTAAAAGAAAAATTTTAAACTGTAAAAGTGTTGAATAAATATTGATATATTGTTAATGATAAAATGATATTCTGAAACTTTAGCAAATATTAAATTATAATTTGTTTGTAGATTTCGTTGTGCTGATGAATCAGTTTCAATGACAACTGGGCGATTATTTCTCGACAATCTTAGCTATTTTGAATTGTATGCATTGTATGCAAAAAATAAACCTAAATCTGATCAATTGATGCGTGAAGCTGGGCATAAATTTTTTAGTTCTGTTCAGGTTGGTGGGATAATTTTTTTTTTGACAAATCATTTGTCAATTTTCGAATACATATTTGGCTTTTTTTTTATTAGTTTTAAGAGATTTTACCTTTTGTTGTTCAAAGTATTTCTTTTTACGTGCTTTATTTTTATTTTTATTTCAATGAAAATTTGCAGAGCTTGGCTGACTTATCACATTTATTAATTAAACCGATTGAAAGGATAGGAAAATATGCTCTTGCACTTCAACAACTTCTCAATGCTGCACCACCAAACAAAGTGGTTAGTGGTCACTGTCTTCTTGACAAACATTAAATATTTATATTTTCCTTTCATTGTAAGTTTAAATTTAGCTTAACATTTCAATTAACTTTTTTGACTGTCAACTTTCAATTCCAGGAAGTTGTAGAGGTATTAGAAAAAGTGGCTATGATAGTTGGGCAGCAAATTCGTCGTGGTACTGATTTATTAGCAATGGAACGAATAAGTAGTTGCGATTTGAATCTCAAGGAGCAAGGAAATTTGTTACGGCATGATACGATGTATGTCACTGAAAAACGTGGTTTGCAATCTAAGAAACGTGTACGAAGCGTATTCCTATTCGAGAATTGTGTTGTCCTTACAAAACCAAAATTATCTCGATCATGGCGAGGAAATACATTTGATGAGCTGAAATATAAAAGTAGTATACAGGTGTTTTAATTTTATCGACTTTTTTTCTTTTATTACTCTTTTTGTTATTGAATCAGTTGGTAATCTCTGCTTCATAATTTCTAAATCTCGACTTGTTTCTTGTAATTTATTTTTTATTGATATATAATTTTAATTAAAGAATAACTAAGGAAAAATTAAAGCCATACAAATTAATTGTTGTCAATTAATGTTAATGAAGGCTAAATAGATTTCAATGAAATTTGAAATCAATATATCTAGTAATCAAATTGAATGGAATTGGTCGAAAGTTTCCTTTCTGACTTTTGTTTTTAATATTTGAATAGCAAGTTTATTGGATACCAAGTTTTTCTTTTTTGTGCTTCCATAAATTTTACCTTATTTTTTCTCTGGTTTCATTAAGATATTGGTTGAAATATTTATCAGTTTTATGATTCTGTAGTGAAATAAAATTATTTCATTTAAGATGACTGACTGCGGCTTAACAGAAATGGTGAAAGATTCAAAAGTTAAATTTGAATTATGGTTTCGAAAGCAGAAAAATTCATTCACATATGTAATGGAGGTAAAATTTTGACAATTTTCAGAATTTTTTTATTTTCCTAGATTTTTTTTTTCTTATATTTTTGTATGGATCTCTTTTTCATAGTGTTAGATTATTTTGCTATGAAAAATGTTAAACTTTTGCAAATATTTTTTTTGAAATAATATAAGATGCGATTATTTAACTTTATATGTTTTAGTCACAAACAGCAAGTATTCGTGATGCTTGGGTTGAAGATATTCGTAATATTCTTTGGAATCAAGCAATTCGAAGTCGTGAAAAGAATATTCGTGAAAAGGCAAATATGGGCATTGAGTTACATTCCTCGTATATTCATTTAGGACCACGCGCTACGGTTAGTAATATGTGTATATTTGTTGTAGAAATGGGGAATATGTATGATGAGATGATTGAGATGTAGCTTGATAATGAGATATGATGTACTTGATGCCGAATCAAAAAGTTGTTTAAATTCCTTGTTTAAAAAAAAGTATTGAAAAATCAAAAAGATGTTGAAAAAAGCTAAGCTAATTGATCTTTTAAAAATTTTGTTCACATCCACTAAAGATTGAAGATCGAGATATTGCCTGATCAGTGAAATTAGTTTATTTGAAATTCCACTTATTTTACTAATGTAGCAACTTAAAAGAAAAAAATTCCGCTTATGTACTGATATAATTACTTATATATTAGTAATAAATGTTTTTAATTGTTGTTATCAAACAAATGAAGATATATCATAGCTTATTGAATTGTACAAGTTTAACTATCTTGTTCAAAATTCAGGAAATTTTGGACAGGATTTTTTCCATCATTCTTTTTTTTTTCCATTACAGCTTAGTGGATTGCGTGATTTTGGTTTTGTGGAAGGTACTCGACGACCATGCTCACTAATATCATTAACAGCTTCGTCATGTTCAAGTTCAAATAATTTAGGACGAGTACAAGGTAACATTTATTTACTTTTAGAAATTTCACTTATGTTAGATAAAAATAATTTTTTTTTTTTTTTTTTTGCAGAATGTACATTATCAGCTCCTATAGATTATTTTATTGTTTCCGTAATTTTTTGGGATTTATTGAGGCATTTAGATTAGATTCCATGACATATCTATGATATGAAGATATCATCCCGTACGGAGGAACAAAGAAAAATAGAGAGTTTTTCTTTTTTTAATTTTTACATGAGGCAATTAGAGTAATTCTCTGTATAAAATGGCTGAGATTTCCTGTCGAGTATACTTTTGTATTCTGAGAAAATTGGTATTTTTTTTAACAGGAAGGGGTACATGCGAAATTAGCGGTGATCTTTGTCGGGTGGAAGAAGGTGATGAATGGGAAAGTATGCACGAGTCCAGTCCAACTGTCAAGTATGCAGAAAGCACACTTCCACGTTTTCGAGCTCCACCACCACCAGATCTGAATCAGTAATAATAAAAGTGTCAACCAATGAATGATTCATCCAAGATAATTGTTTTTCTCATTGGTGCTGTAATTATTTTATCTCCCATATTTTATCCTCTTTTTTCTTTTGTATGCATGGTGATATTATTCCATTGTTATCAAATTTGTTATCAAATTCCAGATTGTCATAAGAGATTTAGTCATTCAGACAATCATTCTCAATCTTTTATGCTCTGTGAATGCTATCTACACGCATGATATATGTCATCATCACATATTCAAATTTGCCAAGATTTATAGTTTTATTGCAGAATCTAATACTGCATAAACTTTAAAAGCCTTTCTCGGACTGATTGCCGTTGAATAAAAGTTATGTCACTATTACTTTAATTAAATATAATAATATAATAAATTATAGTTCAATTGCAACTTGAATCTGTAGGATAACTGAATTCATCAACTTTTTTTATTTCTCTAAATTTACATAATATTCAATGGCGAATAGGAAAGAAAAGATCTACTCACTCCATCTGCTTTGCCGATTTGTTTGTCCCATATAAACAATTACTGCAGGTGCTTTACATAATTTCAAGTATCCTTCTATGCTTGCCTTACTGTGCTTAATTGAGCTTTGCTTTCTTCTCGTTCTCTTTTGATGAGCGGTCTATACTTCATGTAAAAGATACTGTAAACAATTCCTTAATTAATAAACAAACACTGATGAATTTCAAAAATGCTAGAGGGTAGTCTTCAACGACTTTATGAAAAATTTATGAAAACATGAAATGCAAGATGACAAACATTCTAGCTTAGAGAGAATAAATTGAATGATGAATTAGTAACTGGTTATGAGCCACTATTAATATGCACTTTAAAAATATTTATTGTCACTGAATGATAATGAAAAAGTTGTATTAAATGAGAATTTCAAATGATGCTATATGTAAGGACACTATCATTTTCTCTCAAAGGGGAAAGTATAGCGTCTTTTTTTGAATAAATTTCAACCCTCATGATTTTTCTCTTGTTTACAAGCATTTTTTTTTTCAGGTAAATAATAATAGTAATTTATATACAGCGTGGTTTAGAACCAAGATGAATACATAAAATGAGATCACAATGGACATTCGACAAATTGTAGCAGCGTGTATGAAACATCAAGAAATCCATTGAATCCTCTCCATTTTTCCATGCCTACTTCTATACAGTATGTTTCCTCCATCAAATTAAAATTAGCTGATTTCAACAAAAAATGTATTTGCTAAAGTAGATTCAGTCTCGAATACAATTCAAGACTGCCTCAATTCAAAATGTGTAGGATTAAATAGCAACATCCACCAAGTTCTAATTATAAGATGAGAAAATGATGGAGTAAGATTCATCATGTTGGACATGATATAAAGAAAGCCCGTTAATGAAACAGTTGCCGGCATAAACAATAAAAAATTGAATCGAGACTGCCGAGACTGCCCAATCAATAAAAATTTACGAATTTATACAAAATAAGAATAAACTTATATCTCTTTCAATAACGGCTATGATGATGGAGGAAGTTGAACTTGAAACTGCTGTATGTTGCCTTCCGGTAAATTTAATGCAATCAATTGAATAGGTTGGTTGCCCGTACCTACAGGTAGCTGTATCGGTTGTCCAATTTGAGTAGCTTGTACAACTGAACCTGTTGCTAACGCTCCATCTGAGGATCCAACCTAAATAAAACTATAAAGAGAAGAAAAACTATCAATCTATAGGAAAAAAAGTAGAAGTAAATTTATATTTCTATCAATTTCATCCAAAACAAATTCCCGTCCGTAAAATTGCGGTAATATGATTTTTACTGGAAAAATTTTTCAAAAGAACCACTAGACGAGAACAAAACGAAATTAAATAAGATAAAGAGGAAAAATAACTTTTCAGATACCTGTAAAACATATTGAACATTCCCATTGGTAGACATCACATTGTTAGCATCTGCAACAACTGCTTGTACTTCTTCAGCTTGCTCTTGCTGTAGCATAAAGAAAACATTATTGAAAGAGAAAAAGCTGATTTGAATCTCTATCTCTCTAAATCAAAAAACTGCCAATCAGCAAGTACGAATTTCGAAGATATTCATATAGCTTCAAAGTTTGATTTCATCCGACTTCTAATTAATGTTAGAAATACAATTAGACTATCAAAGATTAATAACAAATTCTTGTCAGTAAACTGAGCAAACTAAAGTGATATATGATTTTAGTTTATTCATGAGATGAGATACTAAAGTTAAAATCCTTACTAAAAGCTACTGGAGAAAACTTTATAGTAATTTGTTACTACCCTTTTTTTCCTTTTTATGATTTCTACCTCATCTTACATATAATTCAAAAAATTGCATCTATTTTAGAATTAATTAAACAAAAGCAATCCATGAATAATAATTTCAATGAAATTGCTGAAAAATCGCAAGTGGAAACCATAAGATATCGATTCGACTATACATATGAGCATGACTAGATAAATCAGTAATAATAAACAGATGAGAGCAAAGAAAAAGCAACCCACATGACTGTTAGATTGCAATGGCCATCTCGAATCTTCTCGTGGAACGATGTCAATTAAAAAATCGAACATATCGTTTCTGTAAGCAAAAATATTACCTCATAAACTTAAAAAAATTATCAAAATTAGATTTTCAAAATATATACTTCTAGAACTCTTAAAGTGCGCAAATTCTACCTAGACAATAACATAAAGAAGGGAAAAAGTTACCAAAAAAAAGAAAAAAAAAATCATACCAGAGAAATAGGAAAAAAAGTTATACCTGGCTATAGCCTGAGAAATATCCGACTTTTGCAGTGTTTTTCGCTTATTATCTTCCGTATGTTTCCAAGCATTTAACGTCAATTCTTCAACAAAGATTTCTGATGCTTTTGCTAGTAAAATGGGAGTTTCTGAGCCAATCATCTGAAAAATATAAAGCAATTGCAAAAGTGAATATGTCATTCACTGATCATAAAATTCTAGCACTTGATTTTCATAGTTACGTGAATATGGTAATAACTGACAAAATGTTAAAATCTTAGTTCACTGTTAAGATAGTCAGAAGCAGAAAAAAGTAATCAAACTTGCCATTCGTTTAACATCATCATCTAACTTCATGATTTTTTTTATTCTCGCCAAGGGTAATTGCAATTCTTGGTGACGGCTTGCTTCACGTAATGTTTTCTGCATTTCAGTAACAACAGAATATATTAAATTTTGAAGCTATCAGATTCAATATTTTATCTTCATTTTAAAATTATTTAGAAGAGAAAAAAAAACAAATAAAATCATTTAGATAATGCATTATCCCCTATAAGTTTTCTCGAGAAGTACTTTTAAATTTCATTAGTATTTTGATAACATAACTTTCAACATAAACATCGCAAAACAAATCTTTAAAAATTGTAAAGCAAACTATGCAAGACTCCTAACAGAGCTAATTTAAATATTAAAAATGAACCAACTGGATCAACTGCTTCGATTTTTGCACGAATACGAGACCAAAATGAAGCAATTTCCTGATCTATATCATAAATTCCACCTTCTCTACTAAACTGTAGTTCATCATTTCCTTCCTCCTGAAAAAAGAAATAAAGAGGACTGAAATTCAAATGTAGCATTTTAAGATATGATACGATTAAAACAGATATCAATAATACAAATAATTTACCTAATTATTGTTCTGCTAACGAAATAAAGAAGAAAAAATGGGTTCTCTGCCCATTAGACTTACATATTACAAATGACAATAAAAGATTACATTGATACAAATATTAGAAAGAAAAGATTGATAATGGAGCGAAAAAAAAAACAAAAAAACCTGTGAAATGGATCGATCAACTTGAATAAAATGTGTCTTATCATTCTCCATTATTTTTCGTATGAATAATCCACCATTAACAATTTGTTGTTGCTGATGATGTTTGCCATTTGTTGTTGTCATTGATGGCAAATAAATGACAACTTCTGAATGCTACTGAAAAAGCATTAAATATTATAAATGAACATTTGATAAAAAATAACTATCTCTTATCAGTGCAATGAAAATTGAGAAAAGTTGAACAATTATTCATTAGCTAAATCAATCAATTAAATCTTCAATCAGATCTTTTCAATTAATTAATCAATTAGACTCCTTTCACTAAAATCTGATACTTTTTCTTCTTTTTTTTTTTTTTTTTTTTTTTAAATTTAAAAATAAGACAGTGCTGTGAAATTATGTGAATTATTTTTGAAAAATAAGGAAAACAATAGCACTAAAAGAAAAAAAAAATTGGATAAATTATATGGGTAAAATAAATGGATATAATTTGGGTTGATAAATAAAAACATATGGGAAGTAAGAGAGCGGGTAGTAAGTTACCTGAGATAAACATGATAAGAATGTCAAACGATGTGACGAAAACATCCAATTACTGTCTGTCGTACAATCGTTAGGTCATCAGTCACTAGCATCGCATACAGTAATCATATCTTCGTGGTAAGATTTATCGAAAGACATTTATGCTCGTTTAATTTCTCAGAAAGTTTTTTGACACTTAAAAACTCGTTTAAACTCTCAGAAACTCTTTTAGACTCTCAGAAACTCTTTTAAACTCTCAGAAACTCTTTTAGACTCTCAGAAACTCTTTTAAACTCTCAGAAACTCTTTTAAACTTTTATTAAAACATAAATTAATACTATTATTATTTGTTTGCACCACAAATATGTCATATAATTGGGATATATCGGTACTATCGGGACAATTCTTTTTAATAGTTAACAAACAAAAATAAAACTTATAGAAATTTTTAAAACTATTCAACAAAGTATAAGTTCAAATTTAAACTTTTCAAGCTTTTCAATAAATTCAATGCTTATTTTTATTTCAAATATAAAAAGTCACACATAGATTTGCTTTATATTAAAACACACAAAAATTTATACTTTCTTCTTTTCATTCAATTATTTGTATCAAACAAAATTTATATATATCAAAATTATTTGAAATTTAAGAAAGAAGAAGCAAGAAATGATAAAATGTTAATCAAAATTATGTTAAAGCTTACATAACTTTTTTTATATTTGATATAAAAATAAGTAAATAATGAATTTGTTACTATTTTTTTTTTTTTTTTGATTTTGATTAGCAGTCTAATTAATATCAAATACTTTGTATTTTTTTTCATCTGATACTATTGAAGCAAATGCAATTTAAGTCAAAATTGGTATTCTTTTAAATTTTTATTTTTCTTTCATATTTAGAATAAATGATAATTGTAGTGATTGATTTATATATTCAGTTATAATTGTACTAATGATAACAGTGATTATTTTATCAACTTAGATCTAATGATCGATTTATACATTCAGATGTAATTGTAATTGTGATAACAATGATTTTTGATCAGTTTAGATCTAATGATTAATTAATATATTCAAATATAACGTAACATTTCATTGTAATTAATTTGCATATACATATGCTACTGGATGAATTGTTTTTTGCCGGATAAATGAAACCGGTAATTTGTCTTGTCATAAAATTTAGTAAGATCTATTGAGTTTAGTTTTAGTTTTAGCGCAAAACTTCAAAGTGACGAATGTTAGCGGTATTAGCTAAATTACCTTTGTAAATATTAGTTTGCAAATGTCTGTTATATCTTTCTTACTCTTTCATTCTTTTTCTTTTCTCTCTTTCTGAAAACCGGCTTTTTTTTTTTTGAGTTATTTTTTATTTTATTTAATATTTTGTTAAAGATATTTTGCGCCTATTTTATGTGTAATTTTAATTGGCTAATTTTTATGTGTAATTTCAAAATGGTTATATTATTAAAATTGAAAATGATATAAAGCATAGTTTTAAATCTATTAAAGCAATTTGCTCCATTATTATTATTATTATTTTTTTTTTCACTACCTATTTTGTATTTTATTTTTCGAAAAATATTTTTGTATTTTTAATTTTTTGAAATTGTATCACAATGTTTTTTTTTTTTCGAATTAATTGATTGATTACATTGATCGCTTTTTAATTAGATCAATGACATTCATTCTTTTAAATACTAAAATAATCAAACTCGTATGAAATTAATTGTAAAAATCAATTAACACAAATTATTGGTTGTAAAAAGAAATTGTTTTCATATGACATTGACATTTTCGCACTTTTATTAAAAAAGCAAAATATTTTTTTTCCCCCTCCCAAAAAAAAATAAAATTTTCCAGTTATGGTGATCATTCAATTCAGCAATTTCTATCATCATTTCATCCTCAACCAGTCACTATTTATAATTGCTATTCCTTTCTTTTTTTTTTCTTTTTTTTTTTCAAAGATCAATATGAGAAATTAGAATTTGATAAGTGTTAATAATCAGTAAGTTATTTCTAATCATGATTATTTTATCAGTAATTGATTTCTAACAATGATTATTTTATCAGTAATTGATTTCTAACAATGATTATTTTATCAGTAATTGATTTCTAACAATGATTATTTTATCAGTAATTAATTTCTAACAATGATTATTTTATTTAATTCTGTGTCATATTTTTTTTTTTTGTTTTACTATCAAGAAATATATCAGTAATTGATTTCTAACAATGATTATTTTATCAGTAATTGATTTCTAACAATGATTATTTTATTTAATTCTGTGTCATATTTTTTTTTTTTTGTTTTACTATCAAGAAATATATCAGTAATTGATTTCTAACAATGATTATTTTATCAGTAATTGATTTCTAACAATGATTATTTTATCAGTAATTGATTTCTAACAATGATTATTTTATCAGTAATTGATTTCTAACAATGATTATTTTGTTTAAATCCATATTACATTTTCTTTTGTGACAAATATGATTTTTCGTTGTTTTATCGCCATGAAATGTAATGAGTTTCAAAAGAATGTAATTCATTTTAAGCAATTTTCTTTATGCATATGTTTTTTTTTTCTTTTGTTTTTTTCGAACATATAATGCAAACTTTTTACTTTATATCATATAATTCTATTGCAAAAAGATTATTTATTTTTTATTTACTAAAATTAAGCAACAATTTTAGCACAAAAAACAATTAATAAATAAGAAAAGTGTTAATTGATACAATAAAAATTCGTCCCTTTTATAACTTTTAAATGAAATCAATTTTATATTACTTAAAATTTTCATTCAAAAATTTAATTATAAAATTATTACCTTTATTTAACAACAACAAAAAAAAAAAAAAAAGGAAATTGTTTTTATATTTTTTCGCCCTTTTTTTTAATACGATTAAACGATAGCATTTTCATTATTAATTATCTTAGCTGATAATATATTTAATGAAATATATCGAATAAATCATTAAAAATATTTTTTATGCATACTTTTTAATAAGTTTAAGTGTATTTGAAGAAAAAAAAAATTTTTTTTTTTCTTTTTCAATTTATTTTTGCCTTTTTTTTTTGATATAATATAATTATATTCATATTATATTAATATCGTTTTTTAAAACAAATTCTCATTATTATTAATGTATTTAGTGAACATAAAATATTTTTAATATTCATTTAACGATTGTAAAAATATTTTCAATATTTTTGCTTATCAAAATTCATTTTTTTTTTTTTTTCAACATATTTATTTAAAAATATTGAATATATTTGAATGTATAAAGTACATTTGAATATTAAAATCAAAATATTTTTAATCATTATCAACAATACATTATTAACTTTGTTAACTATGTAGCAAATATTTAAATACTTTCATTTTCAAGTAGATAATTTTGAAGTATTTTCTTATGTAAAAAAAAAAAGAAAAAAATTTGAGAGCACCCTTGAGAATTACTTTAACAAAGTAAAAAAAAAAAAAAGAAAAAGGAATTGAATATGATTCATTCTTCTATTTTTTTTCCTTGCTTTTCTTTCATTTTATACTAAATAATTCTCATTGTAATTGAAAATGTGATAACAATAAAATTAAGTTTAGTAACAAAAAAAAAAAAAAGAAAAAAAAAGTTATTCAATTTTCCTTTTTTTTTCATTCTTTTTTCTCTTTATTTCATTAATATAGAATGTTTTTTTTTAAAAAAAAAGCAAAAAAAAAAGAGAGAAACATGAAGTGAAGGTTAAGTATTAGTATAACTAAAATGGAAAGAATACTTAAGTGAATAGTATAAGTTAAGTATTATTATCAATTTTACATCATAATTAATCTAAGCAAGATGACATTGTTATAAGTTAAGTTAAGTAATAGTATAAGTTAAAAAAAAGAAATTATTAGTAGTATAAGTTGAGTCTGTTTATCATTTTTACATTATTATAAACAAGAAGACAGTATTATAAGTTTTTATAAAAGTTAGAAAAAATTATTAGTAGTATAAGTTAAATATGATTATCAATTTTACATTATAATTATTCCATTACATTTCTTTGATTACTTATTATTTTTAGAATAATTTTCAATATCTTTTTTTATTAATAATTTTGCAGTGTTAAAAAACTAAAATTAAATTTACTCAAAACATTTATTCTATTTCATTTTTAGATGCATATCTATAAATTTCTATAAGGAATAAATTCAATCTAAAATTAAACAAATGAAATATTAATTTAAATTTTAACACTGATAATTAAAACTTTCCTATTATTCGAATTTTCTTTTATTTTTTTTCTTAAAATTTCATTGCCAAAAATTTTTAACAATTATAATTTTTATTCTCACAATTTCAATTCAACGATGAAAACTCTTTTTATTATTTTTTGTTTTTATTTGAAAAAAAAAAATTTAATAAAATCAAAATTTAACTTTTTATTATACCAATTGATTCGTTTCATTTTCACTTTTAATTTTCACATTTTCAAATATATGTTTGTGTGTATTGGTCGATTACACAACATGTGATAATATTTATGATATTTCAAAGAGAGAGAGAGAGAGGGAGAGAGGGAGAGGGAGAGAGAGAGGGAGAGAGAGAGAAAAAAGTTTCATCATTTAATTAAAATGTTCTTTGGTATTTTATTACAGCAAACCACTCGTATGACATAATTTCTCGCTTCACTTCGCTGTCATCTTAATATCCTTACAATTTAAACGCCTAATTATCGTATGATTATTATCATATTCAAATTTATATTGCTTATATAAATTAAAATTTAAATGCAAATTTACACACATACACACACACACACACACATACAAACATACACATACATACACATACACATACATATATATGCTACACAAACTTTAAAATGAAATCATAAGTCGTTTCATTTAATAAATGAAAAATCAAAGAACAAATAAATTATTTTATTTCCATCAAAATTTTTACTTCTCAATGTTATCTAAAAAAAAAGAAAGAATAGAAAAGCACTTTTTGTAAAAAAAGAAAAGAAAAAAGTTGGCAAAAGTTTATTAGCAATTTTATTAGATTATTAAAAGTATTGTTTTGTTTAAACTTTCTTATTTTTGTAATTTTCTCCCATAAATAAATTTTCTTTTCTGTTTTTTTTTTTTTTTTTTTCAAATTTATTTGAGTAATTTTTTTTTTTTTTAAATTTAAAAATTATAAAGAAAAATAGTTTCCTTTACTGCATGAATATTAATGAAAGAAAGATTTTTTTTTCTTGTTATTTTGTGAAAAGTAATCTGAAAATTGCTCCTGATTTTAATTAAATTGAAAATAAAAAAAGGAGTGTATAAGAAATGATAAGTCGCCTAAGATTACTTATTGTATTGCAGTTGTAAAGAATTTAATTTAATCAAGTAGAAAACAATTTCGACTTCTAATTAGTAACCAATTAATTTTATTAATTAAATTCATGCAATAAATTATTGAACAAATTACAAAAAAAAAAAAAAATTAATTGGCCGCTAATTTGAAATTGAAATTGTTTTGCAGTGATACGAATAGCAAAATTATGTTTATCAGTTATTAGTTGTTTATCAAGAACAAATAATAAATCATTTATTTCACATTAATAATAATAATAATAATAATAATAATAATAATAATAATAATAATCAAATTTGTTATCAAAATCATCAACCATCGATCAAGTTTTTACAAAATAATTCTCTCTTACTAATATGAATAATTAATAATTTACATAAAACTCTAATCAAACTAATTTCATATATTATTAATCAGAAATGCCAAAATAACAACCATCAAAAAGAAAAAAGAAAAATTAATGAAAATGGGAAAGAATTTTAAAATAGTAAATGGTAATAATATTTCTAATCATTCAAAAAATCAAGAAAATCAAAATTTTATCATACATTTCTTAAATTTATTAATTATTTTTATTTATATTTGTTTCAATATTAAATTGAAATCTTCTAAAAGAAAAAGCAAGATAAATCAAATATTATTTAATATAAAAATTTTGTAATTTGTAATAAAATTTCAATATAAAATGTAAATTTAATATAAAATTTGTAATAAATAAATAAATTTGTATCAAAAAATGATAAAATTTTCGAAAGTGATATTTAAATAAATTAAGAAATATTACAATATGAATGTAATTTGAGAATTTCATACAATATATATTTCATATGAAGTATGAAATAATTCACAATTTAATACATCATTGCTTATTTTCAACAATTTCACTCTTCTCAATCCTTACAACTTCTCCCATTTCATCGTTTAACTAGCAAACTATCTTCCTCTAAAAGTATTAAACAACTGTTCTATGAATTTAATAGAGTATAAATTTAACAAATTTAAAATTTAACATATTATCATTAAAATTTCCATTGAAAACATGCACGCATTTATTAATATTTAGAATTTAAAGATTCATTTTACGTTTATTTTATTTCATCTTTTCATTTTTTTATGATTCTTTTCTCTTTTTTTTTTTTTTTGTCTATTACAATTACAAGGTATTTTAGGTTTTTTTTTTTTTTGAAAATTAATTAATTCATTAATTACTTATTTGCTTTAAGTTCTTTGACTAATATTAATTGACTAATTATATGTTTTTATTACTTTAACTAATATATTATATTGTCAGCGAAGAAGTTGTCAGTTATAATAAATGGATTAACCATTTGGTAATATGTCAAAAATTTTTGTATATTTCCGGTTTATTCCGATTACTCTCTGTCAGTTGTCTGAGAACTTTCAAAAAAAAAAAAAGAAGAAATGAAAAAAAAGTTTCAATTAAAAACATATTTGAGTATCAATAATAATAATAATAATATTAATAGTAATAATAATAATAATAATAATAAAATAATTAATAATAATAATAATATTAATAAAATAATCAATAATAACAATAATAAAAGAGAAAGAAAAGCTATAGAGATACATATTTTTTTCCAAATAAATAGCAACAGGAAAAAAAAAAACAAAAGAAAAATGATAGTTCTTATGTCGTTGCTTAACTTTTATTTTTCACCATAACAAATTTTAATTTTATCCTTTCGAAAAAAAAATTTTTTTCTTTTTTATTGCTTTTTCAATTTTGTTTTGTAAAGTAATATTTAAATTATTAGCATATATTTTCACATTTTTTTTAAAAATTTTTTTAGAAAAAATATTTTTCTAAAATTTTTTTAGAAAAAACTTTTAAAAAAATTCTCAGATTTAAAAAAAATTTTTAAAAAAATTCTCAGATTTAAAAAAAATTTTTAAAAAAATTCTCAGATTTAAATTCCAAATTTTTACTATCAATTTTTTTTCTTCATTAAAAATTCATCTAAGTGAATTTATTATTTTTAGGAAAAAAAACATACTTATATATATGTATAAAAAAAGTTACTTTAGAAAGTAGTTTAAAATTATTTGGACATTTTTTTCTAAAATTATTTCTGCAAATAGATCCTTCCCTCTTGTCTTCTTTCCTATTTATCTCTACTCTCTTTCATATCCGAACTCTTTAATTCATTCCCCTTTTCTCTCAAATAACTTCCCCAAGTTCATATTTACTTTATTTCATTCGATAGTTTACCTTCTTCAGATTGTAAATTCAAACAAAAAAATGAACACCTTTTCTCTTACGTTTTCCCATTTTTCAACCGTTTCAGTCAAAAAACCAAAGAAGAATACTGCAGATCTGTGTATGTGTGTGTGTGTGTGTGTATGTGTGTGTGTATGTGTGTATGTGTGTGTGTGTGTGTGTGTATGTGTGTATGTGTGTGTGTATGTGTGTATGTGTGTGTGTGTCTGTGTGTGTATGTGTGTATGTGTGTGTGTGTGTGTGTGTGTGTGTGTGTGTGTGTGTGTGTGTGTGTGTGTGTGTGTATATGTGTGTATATGTGTACATATATTTGTGTATGTATGTGTGATTGTGTAAATGTGTCTGTATATATGTATGTGTGTATTTGTACGTCTGTATGTGCATGTATGTATGTGCACGTGTGTATGTGTGCATGTGATGCACGTATGTGTACATATAAGTATGCGTACGCACATGTATGTGTGTGTGTATGTATACGCATCTGTGTGTCCACGTGCGTGTATGTGACGTGCACGACAAGCAGTCACACGTCCAACCTGAAGAGTCATATTTCATCCGGTAACCATCAACACCTCTGTGTGAGAGTGTATCGATGAGAGACAAAGTTCTGCTAATGCAAGCATTCGCACTAAAACCATCACCAGTAGTTGCAGCACTCTCCTCCCATATATCACACCATCACATCACTTATCATTACTCATCATCAACACACTCCACTGACAACGGTGATATTATTATTCATTAGACCACCTGCCAGCACAATTCCTTTTGAACCTGTTGTTCAATTGCCAATGGTCATTAATCCTACTACTACTACCACTGCCACTACTACTACTACTGCTACTACCTCAACTACTATTATTAATAATAATAATAACAATGCTATTAATATTATTGTTGACGTTATTATCATTCTTATCACTTCCGGTTGAACAAAACAAAACGAAAAAAAAAGAAGAAAAGAAAAAAACATTAGAGCAAACAAACTTTAAAATTAGCCAACCTCAATCATCTCTCAATTGTTTCGTCGAATTTCAAAACAACAAATATATGCTATTATTCAATTATATTTCAATTATTCAATTTAAATTATTCAATAATTATTAATTTCATTTAATCATTTTTGATTTTTAGTATATATTGTTTATGCTATTGTTCAAATTATTCAATTGTCTTTATAATTAATTTAATTTAATCATTTTTAATTCTTTATTAGTATATACATTTATTATTATATCGTGTTAATATCTATTTGATCATTCATTTTAATATTTGAAGGAGAAAAAAAAAAAGACAAAATGAATTGTTTATTTCAGATTTGAATGGATTATGCATTCCCGTTGCTGCACAAAAAGATGAATTATTTTTTTTTTCTGATTAATTTTGCTACTAATTGAATTTTACTAATTTCTATTGCTGCTAAATTTTTATTTATTATTCTTCTTTGAGGATTTCTACAAAAAATTTTCTACAAATTCATTTCCTTCACAAATTCAACATTCACACTCACAGGCATAAATACACATACACACACACACACACACACACACACACACACACACACATACAGACATACACACATACATATACAGACAAAAGTACTGCCTCTTTTAGTAAGAGTTAGTACCTTTGTTTTTTTTTTTTGTTTTTTTTTACTTTTTATTTTGTCCATCTCCCCTCTATCAGCTGCAATTTGATTCTATCAAAATATGGGTAATAAGCAAAGTTCGAATTGTTTAAATGGTTCGGAAGAATTTGAAAAATATAATTTGGAACGAAAAACAACCTTACGACAAAATTTTTTGTGTAATTTATTAAGAAAATCGCGTTGGATTGCAACATTTTTCACACGAACAAATCTCACCAATGTTAGTTCGTTATTAAATAATTTTATTAATTATTAAATAATATAGAATAAATAAGAAAAACGAATGAAAAATAGAAAGAACAAAAAAAAAAAAAGATTATTTTAATATTGATTTGTTTATTATTATTATTATTATTGATATTACTAAGTTAACTGTTTATATTTTTATTATTTTTTCTTCTCTTTTTTTAATAACATTAAAAGTTTAATCATTAAAAAAAGAAATTTTGTTTGAATTAATAAAATGAATGATTATATTTGAATGAAAAAATTTCAATTTCAATGAATTATTATTTGTAATTTCTTCATAATAAAATTATCACTCTTATAATATTCTTCTTTATAAGAGAGATAAAAAATGATGAAGAGAGAGATAGAGAGAGAGAGAGAGAGGGAGAAAAAAAAAACATTGAGATTGCATTTTGCAATAGAATGGTTTATTTATTTATTTTTTTGTTTGAAAAAAAAAAAAAAAATAAAACATTATTTTCACCTATTAATTAAAATGCTAGCGATATATTTCGAGGACATTTATAACAATGAACTTTTTGAATGTTATAAATTGAACAAATTTATTTGCTGTTATTTAAATTTAACATATAATTGGAGGAGTTTCATCATCTATTTTAGAAAAAAAAAAAAAAAAATGAATAAAATTAATTATAGATATAAAGTTTAGGGAGAATTTTAATCGAACCAATCATTTATCTTTAATAATAATAATTTTTTTTTTTTTTTTTTTTGTTTGTTTGTTGGGATGAATTTTCAATTTTATTTTATTTCGTAGAAAAAAAAAAGAATTGATTTTCTATCATTGGTAAATCATTGAAACCATAAATTGCTTAATTAGTTTCATAAAATTATTTGTTCAATAAGAAACACACAAAAAAAAAAAAAAAATAAATGGTAAAAAAAAAACAAAAGGATGAAAAAAACAGTATAATTAAATGAAATAATTAATTATATATATTAATCATAATAATTAAAATGAATATATAAATCTATTCGAATCTATTTGTGTTTCATTTTAGCCAAGTAATTATTGAAATAATTAATTATCAAATGATTAATTATTGGCTCATTTAGACATACCCGTTTATTTGGCTTTTGCTGACCAGAAAAAAATTTTGAAAAAATTTTTAACATTTATTCATTAAATTGAAATCTTTTTAATTTAGAATTTTTATTCTATCATAATAGTTTGTCTTTAAAAAAAAAAAAAAAAAAAGGAAATTATCCATCTTTTCTTTTAAAGAAAAGAAACGAAAAAATTAGTTTTTATGAAATTATAAATTGTGAATTAATGCGCTTTATTTCATTGAAAGGTACCATTATTGTTAATCCTCTAATGACCAATAATTTAGCATCAATGACCATTTCAAATGACCTATTTTTGCTATTCTGTAAAATTATGAGTAAATATTTTCCAATTCCCAATAATGAGGGTATAATATTTATTTCATCGCTCATTGCTAATATAATTTTATGCTAGTTAATTACTGATGCATGTAATATTTGTTATTATTATTATTTTTTTTTTTTTCAAAATGCACAACTTTATGAAGTGGTTTCAAAAAAAAAAGAAAAAAAAAACGAATAAATAAACAATAAATGATAAAAATCATACAGCTATTTATAATAATAACAATAATTTTATAATAATAATATTATTATTAATAATAATAAATTATAGTAGTAATGGTTAATAATAATAATAATAATAATAAATAGTGATAAAATATATGAAACAAAAAGGAAAAAAAAAACCAATCATTTATGTTATTTCAAACATATAAATTTTATAAAAAATATTTGATGAAGAAAGAAAGTGGATATGAAAAGAAATAAAATGAAAGGAAACAAAAAAATAAAAAAAAAGGAAATAGGAAGTAATGCAAATTTTTCATAATTTTCAATTTTTAAATAATTTCAACTTTCAATTTCACAGATGATATAAATTTAGAGGAAATTTTTCACGCAAAACTTGATATTTATAAATTCTTCAATCACTTAAATCAGGTTTATTTATCATATATACATATTTAAATCCTTCAATCAGGTTTATTTTTCATTCTCATTCTCATTGTCACTTATTTTTACCTGGCATATATATATATATGTATACCTGTATAATGTTTAATATATAAATATATGTGGTATAATTATCATAACACTTCTTCTAGCATTTCTATTTACCTTTTTTAAAACAAGTTTAAAATTTATTCGTCTTCATTCATTTAATACAAGTTTTAATATTCTTATTAATAAAATGACGAAAAATTTCTCCTCTTTCATTTCATTTTAAATATGAAATATAAGCATATGTTAATTGTAGTAAATTGAATTGAATTGAATTGAATGAATTGAATTGAATGAATTGAATTGAATTGAATTGAATTGAATGAATGGGTGAATGGATGAATGAATGAATAAGTATTATGATGAATACGCCTAATAATCATGCAATTCAATGGTACATTTGCGCTAAACGTGAGGTAAAATTTATTTTATTATATAATTAAATGTGAAATTTATTTATTTAATTAATTAAAACTAATAATTTTTTTTCCGCGAATAATTTTTTTATTTATTTATTTTTTTGCAAATTGCAATGATAATATTTGTTTTTATTTTTTATTTAAACTTCTATGATTGAATGTTAAATTCGATTAATTAATTAATTAGCATTAGTTAAAATTAATGCTAATTAATTTTGTTCCACTAATAATGTTATCTCTCCTTATTTTTCTCGTTTCTTATTGTAGTGATCATATTTGTTAGAATATGCTAGCAATTATATTACTTCACTTTTTTTTTTTTTTTAATTTTCAAAGTTTGTTCATTATCTCCTTTTCTTTTTTTTCATTAGTATATGAAGTGAAATTATTGTTAATTAAAATTGGAACATAAAAATTAGCATTTGTTTATTTATTTGTTTATTTTTTTTGACCTTTACAAAGAAAAATAAGTGCTAATTTTTTGCAGTTTTCAAATTTAAATTACAATAATTTAATTTCAAACGGATTGAAGTATGTCCTTGGATTGAACGAAATGTATAACCGAAATTATAGATCAAAATGACAAACAAATGATTTTCTTATCATCTTTTTTTTCTCTTCTTTTTTGAATTAAAAATAAAATAAAGAAATTTTTGTAAGTAAAATTAGACAAAATAATTTTGAAATTAATTTTTTTTTTTGTGTGGAAAAAACTAAAATATAAAGTGGCTTTTTCTTCTTTCCAATTTAAATTTAATATTTATAAATTACATTAACTATCAATAAAACAAACATATTATTCTATTATAATTAATTTTTTTTTACATTAATTTCTTTTATCTCTTAAAAACAATTAATTATCTTCACAACCAATATATTTATTTTATTCTATTAAAATGAATAAAAATTTAGAAAAGGATTTTTGATTTCTTTTTTTTTTAAAAAAAAATTAAATATTAAGAAGAAAACATCTTTTTTAAATAATTTAAAATTTTTTAATGGAATAATAAATAATATAATAAAATTAAATAAGAATGCAGCGAAAAAAAAAATGAAAATAACTGAATAAATTAATAACAAAAAGTAATTGGCTATATTAAGAAATAATTTATTTTAGAAATTTTTTAAAAGTTATTTAAAAAAAAGGTTTTAATTAATTTATCAATTTAATTTAAATTCACACTTTTTTTTTGTTGAATGTAATTTTATATAATAATGTAAAAATTTAACTTACATTTCAAATATTGCATAATTCTAAGTAAATAAAATATTTGACACAATTTTTTTTTTTTTTTTTGATTTTTAAATATTATCAAGCATTTTGCTTATTATTATTAATATTGATTATCATTTTTGTATTTTAAATGAAAATTGCTTGAATTATTATTTTTATTGTTGTGTCTTTTCTTTTAAGACATAAATTAATTAGTTTCTTAATGATTTTTTTTTTATTATTATGACAAAGTAATAAAAATATTTATATCCGTCCATTATTTTTATAATTTTTATTCCTTTTTTTTTTTTTTGTTTTTTATTACAAAAGATATTTTTATAGAAAGTCATAAAAAATTTTATTTTATTACATTTTCTAAAAGTTCATTTTTCTTTTATAAATAAAAGAAATAAGTGATGAAATTACGAATTACTAATTTTTTTTATGCACTTTTGAAAATTTTATTTTTAGTTGAAATTTTTTTTATTTTTTAATTGAAATTTTACTTTTTAAAGTAAATAAAATTTTGTTTAACTATCAGTTTCATAGTGTAAATATGCTATCATTCACAATAAAATTATTTGTTAAAAAAAGTTTTTTTAAAGTTTATGCGAAAAGTCAACCAAAAAAAAAAAAAAAAAAAAACATATATATTCTAACTTTATTTTAAAATGGCCATTTTATTCAAAATAATTTTGAAAAAAGTAATCGAAAATTTTATTTAATAAAAATTAAAAACAAATAATTTTTTTATTGTTTTATTGTGTTTCACTTTTTTCAATTCAAGCTATTATTTTTCTTTTTTTTCATTTTATTTTATAATACTTTTAAATTTTACTACCAGATTATATTATTTCTTGGAAAGTTTTAACAACAAAACCATCTTATTCATATATTTTTTGTTTTTTTTTTTTTTCTTCTATACTTTCAGAAATATACGATTATTTTCTGGGGTTAAATCTAAAAAAAAAAAAAAAAAGCTAATAAATGATTTAAATTTTAAAACAAATTAAAAAATGACTGAAATTTCAACTATTCATAAAATTTTGTTCTACTAAAAGTTAGTTGAAAATGTATTTGCAACATTTTTTTTTTTTTTTGAAATTCATTTCTTTAAAATTTTGTATATTTTATAGTCAAAATTATAATTTCTTCATTGCATGTATTTGAGTGATAATCAAATTAACATTGAAAATTTGATTTATATTGTTTGCATAGAAAACTATTAATGCTCAATTATCTTTGATTTATTTCAATTTGAAAAATCTATGTAAACATTTTAGTTACAAT